TGAGTGGTGTATGATGAGTGGTGTATGATGAGTGGTGTTTGATGAGTGGTGTATGATGAGTGGTGTATGATAAGTGGGGTATGATGAGTGGCGTATGATGAGTGGTGTATGATGAGTGATATAAATGTTCGTAACACGGAAGTTTCTCTAAACTTCCTTTGACAAGCTGTTTAGTCCACTTACCCCATTTGTGCCTCTTTCCCCCAAAAGGGAAGCGACGCCACATGAGGGAACAAGCTCCAAGGGAAGCCTCCATGTCAGTGTCAAGTTTTCTGGCGCCTTTTCCCCAAAAAGGACGCGTTCCGCTTGGAAACCGATGCCACTCCACCACGTCACTCACCCACTGGTCCTCCATCTCTTGCAGAAGCTCCAAGCAGCGCTGCCACTGCGCACGCAGGCCCTCCGTGCCGATGGACGCGGTGTAGCTGAAGAGGTCCGGGAGCCAAGCGCCTCGACCGGCGATTTCAGCGCGGACAATGGTGGTGCCACACGTCGCATAGCAGACACTGGCATGGGCAAAGGAGGGATCTGGGAAAGACGGAGGCTCTTTTCCGCATGTGTGACGGGGAGGGGTTCCGCTTGGCTCGGCTTGGGGCCTGCGGGGTTGCCAAAGGGCCTTGTCGGTGCTGCTTCAAAACCCTATGCTTTTTTGATGGAGAAGCCCAGTTGCTACTTATTTGAATCAAAGACCTCACCTCGCTCGCAGTTTGCTGTGGCAACTTCAATTGGGTGTGTATCAAAAAAGAGAGACGTCCCAAAGATCCCCTGGAAGAAGGGAAATAGACCAAGACCCATTGAGCCAGAGGGTCTCCCTGTCAAAATACAAACCCAATTGGATCTGCCGACCTGGTCTGCCTGTTCTGGAATTGACCCGTTTGTGCCGTTGCAAAACCAACAGTATGAGAGGCTTTTCAACAGGCAGTCACACCCAATGGGAACGGACAGAAGAAGTCATGATGAAGCACTTCTGGAGAGTGCGTGCAAAGGCCCCACAAAGGCCCCCGATCGACCCGATAAAGCGCCGAAACTCCTTTTTTCGAACTCAGGACTCAGGCCACTCTTGAAGGACTCTCTGGTTTGCAAAGAATAGAACGCTCCGGCACTGCATGGGCTGCTGAAGAGATGCTGGTCTCTTGCAAGTCCTTCAAGCATCCCCACACGTGCTCGACCTTCGCCCGTGACCACTGTGCCGTCCCAAATACTTCTTCAACAGCCTTGTTGCGACTGTTATCAGGGGTATTGAATTCCGCACAAACGAGAACCGTGTTCTCCTTTGTGTATCCCAATGCGTTGTCCAGCCGTTCAAGGGAGAGCCGCCAATCAGCGTGGACCTTCTTATACTGCAAAGGAATTCCAGAGTAGTAACACCGTCCCTCCTGCTGCTTGAGCATCTTCAGCAACATCGACAAATCTAGTGAACACTTCTGGTCCCGACGTCTCGCCAAGCAACAGAGGTTACTTAAATGGCCGCGTAGAGTGCTAATGCGCATGTGTTGAAGCTCTTTGTCACATCGTCTACAATAGCTGCGCAGTCCATTCTTCTTTTTAGCTTGGCGTGAGAAGCACGCACGCTCCTGCCAATTCAGGCAGCGAATACACCAAACAAGCCGACCATCTCCCCCATCTGCTTTGCTGGGCGGCGGCAGTTTCTTTGTTGTGCATGGCTTTTTCCTGGCTGTCTCAATGTCAGAATCAAGCTCTGTCAAGTCAATGTTTTGAAGGCGTAGCTTGTTCACCTGTTGCACTTTGGCTCGTGACCATTGGGCTGTTCCCTCAACTGTCGTAGGATCTACGCCTGGCTTGCGACTCTGGTCCCAGGTATTAAACTCGGCAGCAATCAAAACACAGTTTTCACGAGTGTAACCTTTGTTATTGTCTACTCGCTCCAGTGACATTCGCCAGTGACTGTTTGGAGTCGTGATCTCCATTTGCACTCCTGAATACGCACATCGTCCTTCTTGAGTTCTGATCATGTTCACTATGGTCTGATGTGTTAAGGAAAACTCTTGATCTCGTCGGATGGCACCCGCCTTCGCATGCTTCAATAAGTTCACAATGTTCCCTCGCGGGCTTCTGTCGTATTCTCTTGCTTGGTGCATGCGACATGTCCTGCACCTGGATCTGGGTCTTTTCTGTACGGTAAGATAGAAAGTAGCGGCTTCCAGCCACCTTCCACACGAGTTGCACTTCCACCGGCCCTTTGCATCCGGCCTTCGTCTGGGGCCTCGGCCTCGCCGCTGTGCCGGCTGCTGGGCCTCCGCCAGCCAATGCCGCAAGTAAGCAGGATCCAACTCCTTCGGAGCACACGAGGCGGCATCCTCACGTCCAGCCGTCCGTCCGTTGCATTGGACACTCCGGACATTGAGGTGAACGGGCCCAACAAAGGCGGCGGCGAGCCAGGTGAGCCAGGGCAACCAAGGGCGAAGGCGAAGGCACGACATTGGCAACCTTCACTTCAGATTGAGCAGACTTCACGTCTTGGTCCAGCAAATCGAGCGAATCAAGAATCAACCACACATGAGACAAAGCACTCCATGCCAAACCCTTACCTACACCTTTCCCTATATCTATACATGTATATATATATATATATTACATACACATGTTCAAGCAACCCGCCCTTGTATGCCTCTGCGACTACAAAGCTCAACACCTTCCTCTACTACATTCTATTACCTCCCCTCTTGCGCTCCAAGTCGCTATGTCGCATCTGAAGCAGCAAACTGCAGGCTGTGGCCCAGCCATTGGCACTGCTGCCCGCAGCACTCAAGGCACTGTTGTAGCCTCGAGCAGTAGAGGAGAGTACCAGCTACTGGTACTTGTTGATGGAACCAATCCAACTGGGTGTATAATGATATGATTGGATACGGTTAGTATTGATTCTGGTACAGTTGCTGGTATTTGTTTGATGTTACAGGGGTCCACTCAAAATGCTGAGTCCTGAGGGATTGCTTCTTGCAGAGTCCACCTGCGATGGACCTAACCTGTTGGATTAAGCATTCCCAGTGTCAAAGGGGGTGCAGGAAGCCTTGTATGTCAACCGTGTTTGCTTGCAAAACCCCAAGGATATCCTGAAACTGACTTGCAGGTGTTTCTGGGAGAGAAGTACAGTTGGTTGAGTTGGAGCAGCAGGTTGGTCACTGGATTGGATGAGTTGGACTCCAACGCATCTAACCTTGAAACTCATGGGTAATACTTGGAGGCTACCGCAGCCCTGTCTCAGTGGAGGAGGTTCGGGACAGGACAGAGCATCTAATTACTGCAAAAGGTTGTATATTCATCGATTCATCAATCTGTTTAATGTAGCAAAAAGGATCTGAAGGTTCCTGCTCTGACCAAGGCACTGTAGTGGTTGGTGATCTGTTGATTCAGGAGATGCACGGCCATCGGCCAGTGCGTGCATGCACGGATACTGCTGCCTCAGCGCCCGAGGCTCAGATACTGCGTAGGCATCACGCAGCCTCTTGCGGTGGAGTGGGATGAAGTCAGCCACAGCAACAAGTAAAAGAACCGACAGTCCTGACATCCCGTCATAGCCAGATGCGTTTAAAGACTGCTGAAGCAACCTTTCGTGAAAACCGAAAGTCCTGAGGTCCCATCATAGCCCGTTTCAAGACTCAAGACCCTTTTCGTGCCACGGCAGTGCAGTCACTAGGCTCAAGGCCCATGCACGAGGTCCCGTCACATAAAGCCGCAAGCATGGGAGTCGGGGTGAAGTGAACATTGCGCCTTCTGCGAAGAAACAATTTCAGTATCTTCCTTTGACTTCTGAATTAAACAATACGTGCAACCCACCAGCTTCCTGGGCAACGTGGCCTTCCACCTAGCTTCACTTTGGTCGAATCAGGGTGTTCGGCTTCATTAGCCAAACACATCACAACCAAACACACAAGTTGAAAAAACATCTTCCTGATCCAAGGGCCAACTCATCCACTTCCAAATCAGCTTCACCAAAACACCTTTTCTCCACCCCGCAGCCACCCCAAAAAGAGACCGGCCAAAGTCAACTCCGGCCAACATCCACTCCCACACTCCCAGCCGGCCATTCATCAAATCCCACTCTCCCGCCCACCGCCTCTCCTCCCACCATCCCACCACTCCCCATCACTCACCGCCGTGTGACTGATGCCCACCACATCAGGCATGATCCTCGAGTGGAGCTGCGAGGCCAGGAGGCGCAAGCACGCGTCCCACCACACGTCCGGTCGCCCGCGCTCGCAGGCCGTGATGACCTGAGACCGCACACGCCGCCGGCGAAGGGAAGAGGGCCGTGCCGTGCCTGCGCAAGGCGGGCCTGTAGGAGGTGATGAGAGGAAAACATCGGGCGGTTGAAATCGGCTGGTTTTGATGGGCTTGAGAAGTAGGGATTCGGGTGCGTCTTGATGGATCCTTGAGCAGATCGCTGCCAAAATGTCTGGCTGCTTGCATGCCAATGTCGGGATCTGACAAAGGCAGAAAACATAACAGCACCTGCACTGATAGCTCCAGTCTCCCTGATGAACATCCTTTACACCCAAATCCAATCGACAAGAACGGTCAGGTTGCTATTCCAGGACCTCCGTGGAGGTCAAAACCCCAGAGTCTCTGTGAGCCTGCAACAAACTTGTATATTTTTCGCTGGGGTCGCGTGTCTTCATTCAAAAGGAGAAACTGGCAGCAGTGTTGTCACGAGGTTGGCCGCTGCCTTTGAACAAGACCTCCAGGCCCAAGATCCAGGAGAAATGACACTCCTTCTGTGCCAGTGGCCGAGTTGAACACGACCACACTCGCGACCAGCCGCACGTTGGGTAACTCTGATAAGAGCTCCTGGCAGTTGAGACAGTTCAAAAAGGCTGGTGGGCAAACGACAAAGTCGAGTCCTTGGTGCCCCTTCATTGTGGCTAGCCCTGCGGAGAAGCTTTCCAAACGAGGTATGAAAACCAAAGGGTCGATCTGCATTGAATACCTCTGACCACAGCAGTCAGTCAAACCATTCGCAGAACCTGCCGTGTCATTGAGTATGACGCCCCTCTGCGAATCCTGGCCTCTCAAGGATTTGGATTAAACTGGCCACCCTCACCAGACTGAAAGGCATATTTGGAAATAAAAGCTGCAAGCCATATGGGATGGAAGTCTATAGTCTATAGTCCAAAAAACCGTGCATGTTCAGATTTTAAGAAAGATCTTAAGCCACACACATTTACACCCATTGACGCAACCATGTCTGTGGCCACCCTCCGCCCTAACACAAAAAGCCTGTGCCCAACGCCATTGGCTCGCCCGGGCGCAGCTGTTCACTGCGGCGCCAAAAGGCAGCAGCTGGGGCGACAAGGAGAGGTGCGATCCTGGGAATCCAGAAAAAGGCCCCGAAAGGACTAGGGAGGGCGTTGACCCAAAAACTTGAAATGAAAGACACTGGCGTTGACCATATAGATCCTTTTTTTCCGGGAAAAGCTTCCGGGAAAAGGCCCTTGAAACGAGCCGAGCCCCTCAAAACCGAGACCGCATGCGAGACCGCCTTCGGCGTCGAAGGGTTTCGGTGGCGGAAGGCCGACCGCATCGGTGATGAACGCCCCCGAAGAGGCCCAGGGCGGTGTTGTCCCGAACAGGTCTGGAACTCAGCGTGGTCAACTCAGGGAGTCTCACCGGTGTCATGGAACACCAATCTCAACACCCGGAATCTCAGGGATGGCTGAGATTCTTCCAGTCTTCACACGGTTTGGTACACTACTCGTCGGGGTGGTGAAGGACAGCAAAGCGTGGTTAAGTACAGGTCTCGAATGATTCTTGTTGGCTGTAAACTACTGTAAACTCCATAAGTAGCTGTTACGGCTCTAAGCATCCCGGATACCCAGGAGTTCAGTGGATTGGTTTGACAAAAAGCCCTTGGATCCACCATTCAAAAACATCTCTTGGACTGGAAGTCAGGGATGGGAGGGACAACACAAACATGAATCCTTGAGATTTCCCCCAGCGATCCTGAATTGCAAGAAATGACCTTCTGCTCATTAAAAAATAAGTTTTTCTGTGCCACCACCGCTGGAACAGCAGCCGATGAAGTCAGGACTCTCAGAGGTACCACGTCAAAGGAAGGGCGTTCCTGTTCTAAGTTCGTCTGTTGGAACGGTGGAGGTGTTGGTCGAAAGGATCCTGTCTGAAAGTATTCGAGATCGATCCTTTTGCCCAAAGCCAAAAGACATTGTTCCCAGCAGCTTTACTTGGCTATGGCCAGAAAAACAAAAACATGTTTACAAGGAACTCAAGGAACCTACGAATAACCCCAGGTCAACCAGCATACAGAACAAAGTAGAGGAAAATACACAGCACACCTCACATCCCACCAAAAAGAATCAAAGAAGAACCTCCCCTCCCCCACATCCACTCCCTCACATCCTCCACCCACAAGCCTCCCAAAAGCCACTGGTGCATCCTCACCCCCACCATGACTCCTCTCATCACTCCAAGCATCTCAACGCCCCCAGCGCCTCCTCCCAGCGCTCGCCGGCCGCGAAGATCTGTCGCCGCAGCTGCGCCTCCGCCCGGCGCAGCTCGCGGCTGGGGCGGGCCTCGGCGCAGACGGAGGCGGAACAACAGAGTGGAAGAAAACGTGGGTCTGGGCGCCGGTGAATTTGTTGGGGATAGGATGACAACTTGGAGCCCGAAGACCATTGGCTGGTCCTTGACCCACAGCCAATGGGCGTTTGAAGCCACAACTATACCCATCAAAGATTGGAGCCTCCCGTCCATCAATCAGTTTCGTGCGATTTCGTCCTTCTTTGTCACCAAGAGGCACGAGATGGGCACGTCGCAGCGCTGCTCGACATGTCGGCGTAGCCGGCGAGCCCAAGCTTGGCTGCATGGCGGAAGCAAGTCTCTTGATGAATAACTCCGACATGGATTGTAAAACCTCTTCAGGCTTGGGGGGGTTGTTCATCAAGAGTCTGCATGACATGCGAAACATGCCATCATGGTGGGGGCTGCTGTTGTTGTTGGGCCAAGTGTCTAACCACCCGATCATCAACACATCCTGCCTCGTAGCCCCGCCGTTGAGCCCGCAGAAACTCCAGCGTCTGTGTTTGACGCTCGGCCAAGGCCTGGCGCATGGGCCCATGCAATCAGTGGCTCGCGCGGCACACACTCAGACCGTCTTTTTGAAAGCAAGCCGATCAGTGCAAGACCTTCAACAAGCAACGCTGCCCAAAGTGGCCAAAAAAGCAACTGAGAGAGAGGAAGCCTGCTCCAGCCCCAACCTCACATTGCAGTGTGCACCGCTCCCTGGATGATACCTAGGAGCCTAGGAGCACTGAAAGCACACCACAGCACTGCACCTACGACAAGAATAGAAACAAAGGTCCTTGCAAGCAACTGGCACACGCCACTCCAAGCCGTGAACACCGCCCCGATAAAGTGTTCCAAGCCAGCAGCACATGCCCCTCCAAGCCAACGGCACACCGCTTTGAGCCAGTACCGCATGCCGCTCCAAGCCAGCGGCATACTCCGTTTTGAGCCAGCGACACATGCCAGGGGCATGTGTCGCTCCAAGCCAACGTCACACGCCGCTCCAAGCCGGCAGCATACACCGCTCCAAGCCAACGTCACACGCCGCTCCAAGCCGGCAGCATACACCGCTCCAAGCCAACGTCACACGCCGCTCCAAGCCTGCGGCATATACGCCGCTCCAAGCCAGCGGCACATGCCGCTCCAAGGCGGCGGCACACGCCGCTCCAAGCCAGCGGCAAACGCCGCTCCAAGGCGGCGGCAAACGCCGCTCCAAGGCGGCGGCACACGCCGCTCCAAGCCAGCGGCAAATGCCGCTCCAAGGCGGCGGCAAACGCCGCTCCAAGCCGGCGGCAAACGCCGCTCCAAGCCGGCGGCACACGCCGCTCCAGGTCTTAGCGGATGAAAGTAGATGGTCATGTGTCCACACAGGAGAAGCCAGCGGCCTGGAAAGTCAAGTCCACCTTTGCTGGTGCATTAGACGCATTTCAAAAGGCACAAGTGCCAGTTCTTCGTGCCTAAGCACTATGCACAGCTCCCAAATGTGGACATTGTATAGATTCGTAGATTAGATTCAAATCGATCCAAACTTGCCCTCACAGCGTAGATCCAGGGGGGTCATGCCATGTTCGAACGCCTCGTATGATGATTCGACATGGGGATTCCCATCGGCTGCGCATGGCCCCGAGCTGCGCATTATGGGGGCCCTGCCAGCCACCCGCCTCTTCGAGCTGCGCCTCCTCTAATGGAGCCTTGGAAGGACAAAAAATTGTAAACCTAGAACCTAATTGACCCCTGTTTCGGAGCCCAAACACGGTCTTTTCCTACCAAAACAGAGGCCATGTCCATGTCCGAGTTCTAGGAATATGGATACGTTGGGTCATGATGGTCATGGCACTAGATACCGATTGGGCACGGCCCACTTGGTGGACCATCGCCCAGGCCTTTAGGCCTTGACTCTTGACCCACTCAACGCACGGAACTTTGCCGTTTTGGTCGATCGACGTCTCCACGGAATCGATAGAGGGCAAGCGCCGGCCACGGCCCACAGAGGCCCACGGCATCTTGAAGCTGAATCTCTTTTCATAGCCCCAACTTCATATCTTGAAGATCTATAGAATTGTTTGTAATTGCTGAATCATGACACCCGGCTTCTCAGCGCTACAGCGCATGGCCATGCAATGCCTAGACATGCCTGGGCCTAAGCACGGGTGCCCTGTCACCTTTACCCGTCATAGACACAAAATTCCTGCCAGAGAAGAAGTTCTGGGTATATAGTATATGTCTGTCGTTTTGGAGTCAAGAAACCCCTCGTAACGGCCATGAAGTGTGCAGAAACAGGATTCAGGCTAAGCTATTGAAACACGAGTTATTCTACTTGTTAGAATACTAAGGGTAGCAAGCTTCGAGATCCCACGACTGATCTGAGGACAAAACCCGAGATGGCTTATGGCTGGACCAGCTCATCCAATCTCATCCCTGCATGAAAGCCGAGTCCAGGTCCCCCCACAGCAGCGCTTTTGGCCAGTTCCTCCCTCAAGGAGCGCTCCTGCATCCAACCGCGCGCGAAGTCCCGCGCACCCGCGAGCGCGCTCCCGTGACGCTTCTGAGCCTTGTGGGTCCCAGAAGTCCATGGCCTTCGAATTCACCAACCGACCCACAGACCCATCGAGACTCGGAGTGTTGCAGAAACCGAGGTGAACAGGGACCCTCAGCGACACCGGCAGGAGGCGAACCTGGTGGTGAGTGAACCCTCCGCTGACGCCCCTGCGGCCGCCCCTCCATTTTGGAGTCCAGCGACTCTCTCGGAAGCATGGCCACGTCTCATGCCCAACCTTCGTGCCTCACGACATGAAGCCTTCAAGTGCATGTGCAAACATCTCCTCCCCTACCGATCATGATCGTTCTCCTCCCCAAAATCAGCAGATTTTCTAGGTGTTGGTTGTTTCTGTCATTCTTCTCACACGTTGAGAAACTGGTCTTTCCTCCCACCCTCTCCAGGTCATCCCACATGATCACGCATTGTTCACACCTTGGCCACTTCTTCGCCGCGACTCTCCAAGACACCGTCCACGCGCTCCAACTTTGCAGTGCTGGACAGACCCATCATCCATTTTCGAGTCATGGTACCAAGCTTCTTCGCGTGAACCACCGACTTCGTTCTCTTCAACTCTCCACCATATTCTGCGCCGGAGACGGTTCCCCTTGCCTTCTTTTTCGGATCGACATGCTGCTCGCTCCAACACCCGAACCCGCTCTTGGGTGTGCCTCCTCCCACCGTTCCGCCAAACTTCCGCCACAAGTCCTTCGCCCGGAATCCAACGCCAATGGCCGCCATGGGGTCTTCGACGACCACACGTCTTCCCGGAAAGCGAGAAACAGAGTCGCTTCCACCCGTTCCGCCTTGAACCGTCTGACCGCCTCGAAGTGGTTTTTCTTCAGTCGACCGCCTCGAAGGAGCCGCAGATCTGAGGGAGGCGAGAGGCCAGGAGGTTGTAGTCCTGGCCAGGTTCCGAATGTTTAGTTTGACGCGGTGTCAAAACCGACTAGAAAGAGGGATTCGAGTGCATGTTCCAAAAGCAAAACAATCTGTACCTATTTTGGGGGAGATCATCAAAAACACTGTGAACTCTACCCTACTCTACTCTTACTACTCCTACTCTACTGCTCTACACCTACTACTACTACTACTACCACTACTACGACTACTACGACTACTACGACTACTACGACTACTACGACTACTACGACTACCACTACTACCACTACTACTACCACTACTACTACTACTACTACTACTACTACCACTACTACTACTACTACTACTACTACCACTACTACTACAACTACTACAACTACTACAACTACTACAACTACTACAACTACTACTACTACTACTACTACTACTACTACTACTACTACTACTACTATACTCTACTACTCCACTCCACTCCACACCACACCACACCACACCACACCACTCCACACCACTCGACTCTACCCTACCCTACGCTACGCTACGCTACGCTACTCTACTCTACCACACCACTCTACTACTCTACTCTGCTACTCCTACTCTTCTACTCTACTCTACTAATCTACCCTACTACTCTACTCCACTCCTCTACTCCACTACTCTACTCCACTACTCTACTACTCTACTCTACTGCTCTACTCTACTACTCTACTACTCTCCTCTCCTCCGGCACCGAGAAGGTCGGCTGAAACCGCCTGGTCTTTGGCACCTTCCTTGTCTCTGCCGACACCTCCACCTCCACCTCCACCGCTGGCGCGCTGAGGCCCATGGTGCACGGCAGCAGGTCCACCAGCAGCGGCGGCGTCGGGCGGGCTGGCGTCAGGCGGAAGTGGAAGTCCTCGCGATCGCGAAGGCCTCAGCAGTGGCGTGTACGTCGACATTATAGACCTAGGGTGTTCTAGGTCTACAGGTCTATTTTCGTCTTCAGAACTACTTGGTTGCCTACTTCAGCGGTAGATGAAGCTCGAATTGATATGCTGACGAGCTGAGGGAGGACTGCTGGAAGTGGTCTGCTTTGGATCTGTTGTTAGTAAAATCATAGGACACTAGTAGATCGGATGAGTCAAAATGTCCTGTGCATGTGTTTTTTCAAAGGGATCTGATGCCTGAGCACGTGTTGTGGTGGAGTTTGCGAGGATGATGGGAATGACTCGAGGCATTTGGAGCTGGGAGGTGGCTTTTCTAACTCAAGCCACCAGAAAGTCCGCCTCAGCATGTCCAAATGTTTGTCACCCAACCCGCAATCGAAACACGGAACACATTGACATCGAGACACAGCAAAGTTTAGGGAGTGCTGCTCCGAAGACCGAAGAATGCCACTAAGAACGAAGTGGCTAGGGGAAGTCCATGCGTGAAACAATGGGCGAATTCTAGTCCAGTCGGCTACCGTCCCATGAGCTACAGTACTATAGGAACAAGAAAACAAAATCACACCCAAACCTCTCCGCCAGGGAGCTATACGCTTTCATGGTGATGCGCCCATCCCGCTCCATGCCGGCATACAAGCCCGGCCGGTCCGCCCACATCAGGCAAACCTGTGAGGAGTTTCTCGGGGGCTGGGGTCAGCACAGAACAACACACAGGACTCCACTGCACAGAGGACAAACACAAATGTCTCGAAATGCATGGATTCACAGTGGACTGCCAACAAAAATACTCTATAATGCATGTAGATATTAATAAATCCTTGCAACACCGTGAAGTTTCTGAGAAAGTCATGAAATGTACAAGTAGACATGCACATTGCACCATCCTTCTGGCATGTCTTTTTCCACCCGTTTTGGGTTCCCTTTTGACTGTTTGGTGGAGTGCTCTTTTTTGACCCGTTTTAGGGTTCTTTTCCCACCCATTCCAGGGATCTTGTTTGACCTGCTTTAGAATTCATGTTGGCCCGTTTTAGGGTTCTTACTTGACTTTTGACCCATTCTCTTGTTTGATCTGTTCTGGTGTTTTTGACCCGTCAAAGTGTTCTTGTTCGACCAGCTTTAGGGTTCCTTTTGGGCCCGTTATAGGTCTCTTGTCTGACCCTGTTTTTGGGGTGTCGTTTTCTTTGATCCGTTTTGGTGCACGTTACGTTTGTTTCGGTGTCAATCCTATAACCATGAGTCTTCCAGGGGGTGTAAGCCAGCCTCCTCCCCGCGACCTATTCAGGTCGAACAAAACCCTTCATGGGTGGAAAAGAAACCCTGCAGGTGCCAAAACAACAGGGGTAGAAATAACACCCTTCTGGCTCTGCACCCCTATTCCCGGCAAACGGACAGAAAGAAAACCCTAGCGGGCGTGAGTACAAACAAACAAACAACAGCCCTCGTGAAATGTCTGAAAAACTTGTGACATGTACAATTATAAGTAGACATGCACATTGCGACCATCCTTACTAGCTACGACTGGCAACATCTTATCCCTTACTATTGTAGGGATGAGGGAATGGATCCCAATGTATCCATGTTAAATGGTCGTTCCTGTCGTTCCCTCATTCTCTACTGCTTGAGCACCATTAAGAAAACTAAACCACATCATCTTGTTTCTCGACCACATGGCCAACCCTTCGGTATCGACGTGGCCCGGCGGCACCTCCTTCTCGTTCTCCCCGTACTCCCCGCGCTCCCCGCGCTTGATCTGGAAGGTGGCGCTGCGCCGGAGCAGCGCAGTCCCATCCTGAGGAAAAAGACAGGTGTGGGTTGGATTCACATTGTTTTTTGACATTCATTGCTTGATTGTATGATTTTGCATAGGGAATGGTGTTGTTTTCTTCAGATAATCAATTTAAAAAATAGTCTTTTGCTTTACATGGAAGAAACAAGAGTTTTGGATGCTGATCTGCCACAGGGTGTGCAAATATCTGTGCGGAAGTAAGGTTTTTCACGCCCTGCCACTTTTGCTTCGCCCTCGAAAACTGCATTTCCGCAAGAAACGAGAAACATTCACAAACAGTGGGCAGAATTTTGTCTGCTGAGAGGATGATGATTGACCCATATGATCTCTCCCTTTTGATCGTTTGAACTTTGAACATGAACTTTTTCTAGCACATCCCCATCTCTCCTCTGCGATGTGATCATTCCATTCACCAAGGGTCATACTGGGCCACCACCAGGTGCTGGTCCACGCAAACCTCGGATTAGGGAAACCAACTGGGTCATAAGATCGTGAAACCAGCCTCCCTCGGTCAAACCCAAGGAGCGCCTCACAAACGTCTTCTTCCGCTGGGCACCCGGGGCACAACATGACGCGATTTAAGATCAGTCCTGTGACCAAAACCCACGAGCTTCTTGCTCCAAGCTTTTCCAGAGGCCCCCAACGTACGACTCGCAGGGTTCTGGTCGATGAGGAGTCGTTGGCGACGACACGAACACGAAAGAGGGAGAAGCTCGTTCAAGAGACAAGAGTCTTCCCAACTCCCATCTGTACTCCCCACATGCATCCACTAGTCAAGGGAGCTCCGAGTCAGCCTTGGCCCTTTTGGCCCTTTTGAAAGAATACGGACCGGCCCTGACTGACCTCTGTCGCTCCCTCACTTCACGACATCACCTCCAGGTCACATAGTCCAATGGTCTGCGGCTCAAGCGCAGGGAAATGCCTTCCCCCATGAGCCCCTGCTCCACTGCCAGCACCTCGGCCTCCGCAGCGGCATCCTCAGCGCGCCCGGCCTCCTCGGCGCAGAGGTAGTGACTGCGGAGTTGAAGCTCCCCGTAGGCGGCAGAGCGCCAAGTGAAGCCTGGGCGGCAGGTGGATGTGTGCTGCTCGGCTGGGAAGACAAAGATCCACAAAAGTCCTGGCTTTGGGGCACAAATCGGATGCTTGGATGAGGGGAGACTGGCAACTTGTGGATAAGTACGAATTACGTGAATAGAAAATTGAGAAAGCCATGAAGGCATGCTTCACCGACGATGAAATAGACACAAGCATATCACAGGAAACGGAATTGATCCTCAGTTCGATCCCCAAAAAATTCTAGGAACCCATCTACTTCGGTTTCCAGACGCAAAACGAGGTTTGCTCAAACATGATGCTCTGCCCGATGAGCTCCAAGGAGATGCACCGCTGGGGTCCGAGATCTAGTCCTGGCCGAGCGGGGTTTAGAGGGGTGGCGAATGCACAAGTCAGGTCGCTCCGGAGCCGGGTCCTTGAAAAGAAGCGGGCGAGCAGAATGTAAGGGCTAAGAGGGGGGAGTCGTGTTAGATCTATTTCATATCGGTCACAACCAATTGCCCAACTCTCGACTGTCGGTTCCCCATCCTAACAAGGATATCTCCGGGACCCCGCATGTTCCCACCTGAGTGAAACTCCTCCGCACTGACATTCCTCGCTCCAATGCCGCCCGCGGCCGCAGCGCCCATCGGAGCGCCATGGAGCGTCCCGCGACACCGAGCAACTCGCGAAAGGCACCAGTCACGGGGGAGTTGGATCAGGGTGACAGTGACGGCGCGATGTCTATGTGTTCGGATCCGAGTGGTTTTTGTTCGTGCATCTGTTGACATGGCGCAAGTGAGACGTCGTTTGCGCTGAGCCGGTGGACTTGTCTACAGAGTCTACAGTAAAGAATTCCAGGTTAAAGGACCATTGGCGGCCAAAAATGCCTCGATGTGGCATGGAAATTGTGTTCTTGGCCGCAAACAGACATGACCATTCAGAATCCCTGTTGGTCCATGAGGCCGCCCAAATACTGCTTGCATCCTCGGCGGCAAAGCTATCTGTCAGTGGTTACCCCAGTGGTTACCACAAACCTTCCAAAATCTGGCCCAAGCCAAGAAGAACCAAGGAGTAGAATTGAGTAGATCGGGAGATTGGTCATTCATGCAAAGTCCCACTCAAACAAGTGGACCCTCCTCGCCATCAATACCGGTCTAACCCGCTCTCACTCCTCGGTTTGAACCTCTGCCAATTGGGCCTCCAACCTGCGGTTCCGGCCAAAGCATCGTGGGACGATCCGGAAAAGCCATCTTTGCTCACTTCCAACTGGTGATATGCCGAGAGCTGGACCTTCTGTTTCACTGTGGTGTCTCACCTCTTTTCAGGCCTCCAAGTGCACATTGAGACCCTCAAATGGCAAATCCCACTGCAGATCCCGCTATTTCCCCACGGCAAGAGACCACCTGTTCTCGGTCAGCCCAGTGACTGCAGGTCCTCATGAGAAAGATCCAGATCCTCTACCCACCTGTTTGGACAAAAAAAACCAACAAGCACGGTTTCTACAAACCCTGCGGCCTGCGGTTTGGCACACCACGCTGGTGGCACGTCAGGCGACGGCTTCGCGAAGCGGGAAGCGGCGGCACGGGACCGGTCGCCTCTCCGTGTGTTCGCCCAAGAGCTGCTGATGCTCCAGAAGCCGCCGGTGCCGGTCCTCATGTGTGTTCGGACGGTTCATGGCAGTGACCATTGAGGATCATGTACTTGACTGCATAGGGTGTGCTCTTTTCAAACGTGTGAGTGAATTCCATCTCTCAGTTCTCACAAGCTACTGAAATGCAACACTTCGAGTTTCATGAACTACCACCTGACCTTAGCTGGAAAGAAAGTGCCCAAGGCCGCGGCCTCTAAGCAGAAGTGCTCGTGCGAGAGGCCCGCCTGTAGAAGGAGGGACAACTCGCACGAGTGAACTTGTTACGAGGATCTATCCTACTACCAGGCCCCAGTGGATGATGATGCTGAATAAAGGCCTCCAAGATACATTCAGCTTTTGTTTCCTTACACTCCCAGCAGTACTTACTTTGGTCCTTTGAAGGGAAATCCCTTGAATCTCGGATGGACCTTGCAGCAGCCCGGCCGGCGGGAAGGCCGCAGTTTCGGCACAGAAAGAGATTCGGGGCATGCCTTGTAAGTCTGTAGGCAAACCACCCCCTCCATCCGAAAGAGTAGCATGTACAAGAACAAGTGGTTGCTGCAAGTCAATGCAAGTCCTCTCATAGCTAAATATATATAATGGTGCATCCAAATCACTGAGCGGTGAGATGGCAGAATCGCAAGACACATTCTTGAATAGATCCCTAGGGATGGTCCGGAATCGTTCCCTCTATTCAAAAACAGCGGGATTCAAGAAGGAAAGATTGCAAAGAAGGTGCCTCAGCACCATGGAGCGAGAAGTGAAGGTTCAAAAAAAACGAAGAAATCCCAAGAACCTCACGTCCCCTTCCTCCAGCCACCTCTCACGAAGCGGTCGCCTCAGTTTGTCGCTGATGGCCCAGGTGCTGCCAGTCTGTGGAATACCTTGGAGCTGCCGCTGCAGTCTTCGGTGGAGGATGACCCGGCAGGTGCTCGCAGGCTGGCGGGTCAAAGCTTCATAGTCCAACTGAAAGGGCGTTTTTTACTTGCAAGTGAATTCCCCACTAAAATGGCCCCGAAAAAACGGCCCACAGCGACCAAAGACTGGAAACGCTGCCATAAAGATCCTTCAAACATCCCCAAAACAAGCAGCCTTTTGCTCACTCTCCCCACAGCAAGCCATACTATGAGACCCTCTGGCATGAGGTACAGTTTTCAAAGCTGCATCCAGGTTACTCGATCAGCTGTCGATTCAGATTTCGGATGCTTTCGTCCTGTCAAGTTGTTAAAATCCAAGAATACTTAGCCTCGCAGTCCACACATGTGCACAGTTGGGGTCATAAGTCATATACCTACCAAAACATTCTACAGTCATTGGATGTGGGCCCCCCCCTGCGATTGAAGCCCTATTAAAACCTCTGGGACTCTTCTTTGGCCCAGACCAAGCAGCAGGAAGAGAAGAAACTCCCACCGCTCGAAAACGGGTTGGTCGCGTGGTTCGCGGGGCCCGGTCTGTCACAGCTCAATGGGCCGTGGGTCCTTCATCTGGCATTGCTGCCTCCAATGACTGGTCATCAATCTACTCTGCTCCTGGTGGAACTTCACCAAATCCTGGCGGATTTGGGCAGACACGGCAGCAGCAGCATCGATGGAAGCATCACGGTGGGAGTTATGAGTTGACGTTGGGCTTTTGCTTGCACCAATCCATGGCATTCTGGGCTCTGTCATGCTTCTCGGCCTCAGGATGCAAAGAAGGAGAGCCCAGAGAGCCCTGTTAGTCAAAAACCCAAGTGGATGGTATCACCCGCTTGTCATCTAAAGCAATGTTCACCAAAACGAGCTTTTCGACTGAAAGGACTGGTCGAACACACACTGAGCGTCAAATCTCCCTGATCTCAATTCAGGGATAGCCATAGCTTTACCACCATTTCTCCAGCTCAGGAGCCCCCTTTTTGCTGCAAAAATCGCCTCCGCGCAAATCACCCGCCGGCTCGAGTGCTCCGCAGCGATCTGCTGTTCCTGGCGACCGTCGCACCGTCAGCGCTTCGGAGCGGGACACGTCTCAGGGTGACAGGCGACCAGGCGACCGGGGAGGCGCACATTCATGAAGGTGGCAGCAGCGAAAAAGTGAAGCTGCGAAGCAAGAGAATCTGGTGATAAGCAAGCTTCTGAGATAGACCTGGAAGAGGCTCTTCGATCACAACCTAGCAAAAACTGTTTCTTTGGGTCATTTGGAGGGTGACCTTGGTTTCCAACACCGGGGCAACGTCCGCGGTGTCCGGGATTCTCGAAAGACAACACAAGTGGATTCGCAAGTGTGGCCATCATTGGCATCTTTTTGGCTGGAACTGGTCTTCGTCTTCCTCAGTCTTCCTCTCTTTGTCATCAGTCTTCACTCGCCCAAGCAAAAAGAAGCACGGGTCCTTTCCTGAGCGAGATCGCCAGGTCTGACTTTTGCAGGTCACGTTCGGTCACTTTCCGCACCCATTCGAAGACGCGCGTCATGACCCGTCGGTTCGCACCTCCAAGGCCAAGCGCAAACCTTCCAGCCGTTGGTTGTATTCCTCCTGTGACACCGGGAGGAGATCTTCGGCGAAGCTTCGAAGCGCGGCGCTTTCAATACGTCTACTTACTTCAAAAATAACCCCACAAAACACAACCCGCCTCCGCCATCTCCCAACGAGGCAAACAAGCCCTCTCACCCCACCACTCAAATGCAATGACCCCACCCCACAAACATTCCTCCTTGCGCCGGCGGAATGCACCCGCGAGATGGAATGGGTGGTCCTTCATGGTCTTGAACTCCCCTTGCAGCGCGAGGAACTCCTGACAACAGGTTGGACGGGGTGCAGCCACATGATCGGATGGGCCACACTGGTTAAGTTGCGAATTCTCTGAAGCAATGGAAAAAAGGAGGGAAGGAAATTCTTTGAATCTCGCAATTGATCCAAACATCTTGTCATATTTTTGGTTTGAGCATTTTGAAGAGTTCAGTCTTGGGCTGCTTCCTCTCGTGGCTGCCACAAATCCACCCACTCTGTGGAAACCAACCAAGGAATCAAGGGTGGTAGCAGGTGCCGTCCTCAAAAAAATACGGTGTGACCAACCACCTAGTTTCCTATACTGGATCTCTATGGTCTATATCAGGAAAACACTCTGTGAATGCCATCGTGGATGTCCTGGTGACAAAGGTTCGATTTCAAAGCAAAGCAAAGCAGAAAAGGAACATCCAAAGCAAAGCAGACCTCACATCAAACAACCAATAAGTCACTATAGCTCATACACAAAACACACCCACTGTCAAATGTCAAGGCTTCATGGTGACCCTGCTGCACGAGGCTTTCAACTGGAGAACCAACCATCCAACCATGCTCAACTCAATCTTCCCTTTGAAAAGGCTAGGAATCGGAATCTGGAGATTCTGGAGATTGTCTGAATGAGAGATAGGCACAAATCAGATAGTCTCGGAACCCACGATGTACGAGCTCTTTCCAGAGGATGGAAAAACAGAAACGAACAAGGACCGCAGCAGTCATCGAAAGGTGGGAGCAGCTCCGGCACAGGCTGACGCTCTGGCTCAGCAGAATACTGGAACACCGAACACCACATGGTTTGCCCCAAGCTGTGGGTGTGAAGAGTCTGTCCTGCTGGGCAGCCAGCACTTTGGCTGTCAGCACCTCGCAGCAGTGAAGAGAGGTTACATCCACATGTCCACGTTTGACCAGGAGTACAAAGCATGCAGCTCTGGACTGATATGTTGGAGAACCTGCAACATTCCACCTTTGAGTTGCAAGCACAAGGCGATGATGGTGCAAAGGTTTTCCTCACATGCTCCTTGTCTGTTGAGACCTAATAACTAGGCCATCCAAGCTACTGTTGAAAACCTATTCTCCCGCGCCACGATCAAGTTCCATGATATCCCACACTGAATCGCGTGTATTATACATGCCAGGTAATGCAGGAGTTCTTCCATCAACAGTGAATAGCTGGGCACTTCAATCCTATGCATCACTGATAACCAACATTGGGTGAGGTGTCTAAGGATCTTGTCTATGAACCAATTGGGGCTGCTGAATACATCAAGCTTTGATCTCTCTCTTTCATGCTACATGGTCCGATAGAATCAAATGATACAAACTGTTGCAT